CCCACACACACACAGAGCAGCCGCTACTTCAAGATATTGTGCCAGGAAAATCCCATCAAACCATCCACACCTCCTTTCAGCTGTGAACTCCTGGAAAATTCTCGACCGAAAAGTTTGAAACCATCCTTTAAGAAGGCATGTGGGTATACAAAAGAGGGACTAATCCCCCTAACATCCTACACTGCAGAGCTGATGCATTAATGTATGCATATGGGTCTCTCATACCGCGTTATCACATAAACTGCAAAGACTTGCCTACCAATAGTGACAGACCGTGTGCTGAACTCCTGCCAGTCTACAGCAGATAGAACCGAACGTACAGAAAGACGTCAATACAAACAGGAATTGTCATATGCTACAAGTACAACTGGCTTACTGCTTCATCAGAGAAGCAGTGTGCTTGGCAGACCTTCATGCACAGGCCATTGCTCACTGATTCACCAAGCAGCCCAACCCCGAGATTGCGCCGTTGCTATCTCCAAAGACACAATGGCATAAACCTCAGTATAAAAAGCATCAAACTTTCTAGACTGGATGTGTTCATCTGTGTGAAACAGTCTCTCTCAAAACTACGGTTACACACACACACACACACACACACACACACACACACACACACACACACACACACGGACACACGGATAAGATAGTTTAAGTGACTGAGGACTTTGTTTTCTCAAGGGTATAATACTATAATTAGCTTTGATTGATGGCAGTCCACCACAGCAGCAACTGCCCCAGGGAGAACTTGCCGACTTTAGCCACACCTGCTATGCGATCCAAGGGGTGTGTGCATGCACACCCATGTGTTTCTCTTTGAGGGCATTAACAAGCAGCGTTAAAGGAGATTGCGATATCAGGCGAATGCAACATAAGAGTGCTGGCTGTGCTGCGAAACTATGTGCAGCCATTTGCCTTGCTGTCTGATATTTTGACAGTCGACTGGAACCAAACAAACTGTCCGCCATCAATCCCAGAAGACTAATGTGCTGCAAGTACTCACAGCTACCTATAGATCTAAGTAAGGAGCGAACTCGGCCTCGCTCTAGAATTCGATTCACCTAACCTGTGGCCTATGCCTTCAGCTCATGTCCCCGTTTCCATCTTCTAATCCTTGAAGGATGTAAACTGCCCGTGCATGGCCAAGGCAAACTTGAGAATCGAAATTGGTTCATCTGCAAAGTCCAAAGGCTCAGGGATACCGAACCAAAATGGCTGAAGGCACCAGCCAAAAGGAAACAAAAAGCGCCACGCTGGCATTTCGGGAAGAAGCTTGGCGGGCAGGGGTAGTCCGCCTCGGCAAAAGGAGGCTCGGATGTACTGATGGTTTCAGGAAAACAAGCAAGAATGCCTGGCCAGAAGTCTAAGCCATACAAGAGCACTACAAAATGTCACCAATAAGACGTCTTAAGACATGTATCACAACATACCGTATGTCAGTTCACATTCGTTGCACTCCCTTCACAAGAAGGCAATTGCCGTCCCATAACACAAACATAACCAATTGCCAGCTAGTTAACAGAGGGGACATGTGTCCTTATTGATGTGAACAGTCCATAAGGAATGCCAAGAATACAACATAGAAAACAAATAGAACATACAGACATATATATATAGCAAAAGGAAAAAATAAGACAGAGAACAAGCAGATTGAACCTGACCACCAACTTGCACTCTCCACAAAGCCATGTATGAAAGGAAATGCTGAGAAGCGTCCATTTCATCGGCAGGGACACACAGAAGCAAGATTACCTCTCAACACTGGCATACATGCCCTTCGCGTCCCGTCCGCGATCTGCATGATGGACATATGCATCCTTCCCCATGCTGGAAGGACAGCAGCATCATATGGATAAAGTTCAGAACTATGGATAAATATTCCCCTCTCTCTCTCTCTCTCTCTCTCTCTCTCTCTCTCTCTCTCTCTCTCTCTCTCTCTCTCTCTCTCTCTCTCTCTCTCTCTCTCTCTCTC